CATTTTGTAGAAGTTAGGATGAAGGTCTTTTTCTTAACTCTGTTCATGTTATAACATTTTTGCTGTGAAGAAGAGGCATGTGATCTCCGCTGAGTCAAATACAGTTTTGAGAACTGCAAAAGTAAACCAGCGTCTGTGATAATATCTTGTAGGCAGAGAAAGCAGACTGCCCAATAATCTTACAAAAACCTCTGGAAGAGCATGACATTGTGAATGGATTCATGGAATTTATTTACCAAACAAATTAAACATATACAGCTTATTCTACATAATTAAAAAACTAATCTTTATTTCATGATGGAATAACCTTTGGATGGTAATATATCCCAAAAAGCATTTTATTAAAAAAAATCAGATTTAAATAAAAAAAAATCAGATTTAAATAAAAAAAATAAGATTTAAATAAAAAAAAAAAATAAATTGGATTTTTTTGATTTTTTAAAAAAAATCATTGGGTGAATACAGTGTTAAAACTATATGCATACATGGATTGAAAATCATCTGGTTCAGCAGGGACCGACCACATATTGATGTATGGGCAGAACAAAATCGATCTGCCGATCCAATTCTGTACGTTCACCCTGTTGGATTTTTGCTGGCAGTGCTGATCAGTCTATTCTGATGGCAGGGTAGCCTACCCACTGTCAGAATACAATAGCCACATGGAATGTATGGATGGGGGAATTGAGTCAATTTATTTGTTCACAAATGAAAAAAAAAAAATGACTTGTCTATAGTCAGAGTCTCATGCGCCGGGGCTTAATGCCCAGTATGTTTGAGGCCTAACAAGTGGCTGATGAAGGAAAAGAAGACAGGGAAAGAGAGAACTACCCAAGTACATGCTTGGATCCTGGTGAAGAATAACAGAGATTTTTGTGAGAGGGAATGATTCATCGCCTCCCACTAACACTGAGGAATAGACTCACCAGATGGCATGTGGGTAATATGAAATCCAGATAAAACAAAAGCTCACAAAGATTTGCAATAAGAAATCTGCGTTTTTGTGTGGCTTTTTAAACTTGCAATTGTAGGCACTAATTTGAATATATTAACCCTGGGACTTTAAATGAAGCACATGACATTCAAACAGTAAAATGCTCAATACACATGATTTCAAATGTATTAATCCATATGTATACAAATCTCATCACAGCAAAGTTCAGTTGAAAGCATAATATTATTGAGCTGATTTGTAGTATGTATATGTATATGTATATATATATATATATATATATATATATATATCTATCCTTACCGACACTTTATTAGGTACACCTGTTCAATTGCTTGGTAACACAAATTGCTAATCAGCCAATCACATGGTGGAAACTCAATGCATTTAGGCATCAAGACGTGGTGAAAACAGCTTGCTGAAGTTCAAACCGAGCTTCAGAATGAGGAAGAAAGGGAATTTAAGTGACTTTGAACGTGGCATGGTTGTTGCTGCCAGATGGGCTGGTCTGAGTATTTCAAAAACTGCTGATCTACTGGGATTTTCACACACAACCATCTCTAGGGTTTACAGAGAATGGTCCGAAAAAGAGAAAATATCCAGTGAGTGGCCGTTTTGTGGACGAAAATGACTTGTTGATGTCAGAGGAGAATGGGCAGACTGGTTGCTGCGACATTCACTTGGTAGGGTTAGAATTTGGTGTAAACATGAAAGCATGGATCCATCCTGCCTTGTATGAACGTTTCAGGCTGGTGGTGGTGCTGTAATGGTGTGGGGGATATTTTCCTGGTGAGTATATATAGTGCGCCTGATGTATCATTAAGGATGTGAATATACAGTGGTCTATATATATTTATTAAGTTGCACAATATGACTCAGAGCTGCACCTATTTGTCTTGACATATATATATATATATATACAGTGGGGATCGAAAGTTTGGGCACCCCAGCTAAAAATTTGTATTAATGTGCATAAAGAAGCCAAGGAAAGATGGAAAAATCTCCAAAAGGCATCAAATTACAGATTAGACATTCTTATAATATGTCAACAAAAGTTAGATTTTATTTCCATCATTTACACTTTCAAAATAACAGAAAACAAAAAAATGGCGTCTGCAAAAGTTTGGGCACCCTGCAGAATTTATAGCATGCACTGCCCCCTTTGCCAAGCTGAGACCTGCCAGTGTCATGATTGTTCTCAATCATCGTCTGGGAAGACCAGGTGATGTCAATCTCATAGGTTTTAAAAGCCCAGACTCATCTGACCTTGCCCCAACAATCAGCACCATGGGTTCTTCTAAGCAGTTGTCTAGAAAACTGAAACTGAAAATAGTTGACGCTCACAAAGCTGGAGAAGGCTATAAGAAGATAGCAAAGCATTTTCAGATGTCAATATCCTCTGTTCGGAATGTAAAATTAAGAAATGGCAGTCATCAGGAACAGTGGAAGTTAAAGCAAGATCTGGAAGACCAAGAAAAATATCAGACAGAACAGCTCGCAGGATTGTGAGAAAAACAATTCAAAACCCACGTTTGACTGCACGATCCCTCCAGAAAGATCTGGCAGACACTGGAGTTGTGTGGTACACTATTCCACTATAAAGAGATACTTGTACAAATATGGTCTTCATGGAAGAGTCATCAGAAGAAAACCTCTTCTACGTCCTCACCACAAAAATCATCATTTGAACTTTGCAAATGAACATATAGACAAGCCTGATGCATTTTGGAAACAAGTTTCTCTGGACCGATGAGCTTAAAATTTAACTTTTTGGCCGGAATGAGCAAAGCAAAGTTTGGAGAAGAAGGGGCACAGAATTTAATGAAAAGAACCTCTGTCCAACTGTTAAGCATGGGGTTGGATCAATCATGCTTTGGGGTTTGTGTTTGCAGCCAGTGGCACAGGGGAACATCTCACGAGTAGAAGGAAAAAATGGATTCAATAAAATTTCAGCAAATTTTGGATGGTAACTTGATGCCATCTGTGAAAAAGCTGAAGTTAAAGAGAGGATGGCTTCTACAAATGGATAATGATCCTAAACACACCTCGAAATCCACGGGGGATTACATCAAGAGGCGTAAACTGAAAGGTTTTGCCATGGCCTTCACAAATCCTGACCTCAACATAATTGAAAAATCTATGGATAGACCTTTAAAGAGCAGTGCGTAACAGACAGCCCAGAAATCTCAAAGAACTGGAAGACTTTTGTAAGGAAGAATGGGCAAAGATACCTCAAACAAGAATTGAAAGACTCTTGGCTGGCTACAAAAAGCGTTTACAAGCTGTGATACTTGCCAAAGGGGGCAGTACAAGATATTAACTCTGCAGGGTGCCCAAACTTTTGCAGACGCATTTTTTTGTTTTCTGATATTTTGAAAGTGTAAATGATGGAAATAAAATCTAACTTTTGTTGACATATTATAAGAATGTCTAATCTGTAATTTGATGCCTTTTGGAGATTTTTTCCATCTTTCCTTGGCTTCTTTATGCACATTAATACAAATTTTTAGCTGGGGTGCCCAAACTTTCGATCCCCACTGTATATATATATAAGCTGAATACATAAAATTAAATGTGTGGGGGATATTTTCTCAGCACTAGCAAGGTGTAACCTAACAAAGTGGCCTTTGAGTATATATATATATATATATATATATATATATATTACATAAATAAATCACAATATAAATTAATTAATTGTAGTTATATAAAGAAATTCATATATAAAGTCCAAATAGAAATCGCATGATTATTATAAAACTACATCCAAGAACTTGAGGCATTTTGTGGAACTCCATCCACTTCCTCAGGAGTAGATGCAAAGTGCTTATAGGTCAGCTCAAAGTTAAACGTTGTGGTACTGAAAATTGTTGGTTCCTGGGGATGTCTATCCCAGGAGCTGTAGTAGGGTGACCATGGGGACCAGAGGCACAAATAGAGGGCAAGCGGACTTCCAGGAGAGTACAAATCCACATTTCGTAGTCCATAATGACTATGGCAAATTCAAAAAGGTTTCTCATATTCTTGCATGGTGCCGCTGTAGTCCAAAGTATAATCCACAGTACCCCAAGGAGAACAGCACAGCACCTTGCTATGATGCATAAATAAGAATACAAGAGCTGAAATACTTAGCTTCCTGGAGGAAATGCTGCTCCAGGCTCCCTTCGGTGCTGCTCACACAAACAAAAGCCCAGGCATCTGGTCATTTGAACAAGATGTAGCGGTGTCTGGGCCAGCAATGGAGTGACATCCCCCTGCATGTGGCTACAGAGGGAGTAAGACAGGCAGACTTTTTAGCAATCCTGCAGCTAGCGATTTGCCTTAGAGTCACCATACACACTATATTCTTTGTATAATCAACCAAAACTATGTAATATGAAAACCTACCTAATCTATCCAATCAGTCTATAGCCAAATCAACCAAAACTATGTAATATGAAAACCTACCTAATCTGTCCAATCAGTCTATAGCCAAATCAACCAAAACTATGTAATATGAAAACCTACCTAATCTATCCAATCAGTCTATAGCCAGTCAGGCAGACCCTTGCACTACATAAGTGATGGGAGATCTAAAGAAAATTGTTCAATCAGATTGTACAATGCATAGTAAGCCTTACTGTAATTGGAAAGTGTGATTTTTTTTTTTTTGTAGCTTTAGGCAATCCATACACATGAGATGATTGCTACCTGATCTAGGCAAATAATGACAGGACTGGGAAACAATCGGCTACCCAAAAACTGTGTGAACTACAATAGGCTGGTCAATGAATGAAGAGTTGGATTTGATTTTTGTTGCTCTTGGCTGTGGCTTTTGGTTGGGTTTTCTGACCACCGTCTCACATCTGTGACTGGCCCCCATATGAAGTATTGAAGTTACACTATTCTACTTTATTTATCTTTGCCTTGTTAACTGATCATTTCTTTGTCTTCGGTCACCTTTTATAGGACCAACGATAAGGCTTTGTACATGGAATTGGTTCCATAACAAGGAATTTTGAAGAACAATCACACCCGTACATACAATCCTGTATCTCCTCCTGGGGATATGACCGCCACTATGCAAACCCTTCCATTCAAGCAGTTCGCTCCAGAGCCGGGGCAGGATTGGCCACCGCCATGCGAGCAGGAGATAGAGAGGAGGTACCAGGTGGTGCCCTCTGTGGTCTGTGCCATGTGCTGCCTTTTTGGGATCATCTACTGCTTCTTTGGTGAGTACGTCTGGAAACTACCTTCATTTTCTTTTTCAATATTGTTATTCAACTGTTTACCAAGTATTGTCGCACATAGCTCAACATATTGTCAATCAAGCAGCTTATATCTGAACAGTATTTGCATGTTCAATAATTAAACATAGCTATAGAACATAAGAAAGGTAGCCAGTATTTTCCAACCATGAACCCTTCAAACACCATTAATGTTAAATGATGGTGACTGTTTGGAAATCCAGGGTCTCTAAACTTTCTAAATAAAGGGCCAGTTTACTCTTCTTCAGACTTTAGAGGGGCCAGACTTTGGCCAATGGGAGTAAATAATGCCGTAGGCTTTGTGGTCAGTAAGAGTAGAAAAAATTATATAGCACCTGTGGTCAGCAGGAGGAAGAACAAAGCCCCAAAATTTGTATCGGTGGAAGGAATAGTGCTCCATCATTGTTATGAAAGTGAGGAATAGTGCCCCATCATTGGTATCAGTGAAAAGAATAGTGCCCCATCATTGGTATCTGTGGAAGGAATAGTGTCCCATCATTGGTATCAGTGGAAGGAAGAGTGCCCCATCATTGGTGTCAGGTAAGGAAGAGTGCCCCATCATTGGTGTCAGGTAAGGAAGAGTGCCCCATCATTGGTATCAGGGAAGGAAGAGTGCCCCTTCATTGTTATAATGGAAAGAATAGTGCCCCATAATTGGTATTAGCGAAAGGAATAGTGTCCCATCATTGTTAACAATGGGAAGAATAGTGCCCCATAATTGGTATCATTCGTAGGAATAGTGCCCCATCATTGTTATGAATGTGAGGAATAGTGCCCCTTTATTGGTATCAATGGGAGAATTAGTGGCCCATCATTGTTATAAATGCGAGAAATAGTGCCCTGTCATTGGTATCAGAGGGAGGAATAGTGCCCCATCATTGGTATCAGTGGGAGGAATAGTGCCCCATCATTGGTATCAGTGGGAGGAATAGTGCCCCATCATTGGTGTCAGCGGAAGGAATAGTGCCCCATCATTGGTGTCAGCGGAAGGAATAGTGCCCCATCACTTGTCAGTGGAAGGAATAGTGTCCCATCATTAGTGTCAGTGGAAGGAATAGTGCCCCATCATTGGTATCAGTGGAAGGAATAGTGCCCCATCATTGGTATCAGTGGAAGGAATAGTGCCCCATCATTGGTATCAGTGGAAGGAATAGTGCCCCATCATTGGTATCAGTGGGAGGAATAGTGCCCCATCATAGGTGTCAGTGGGAGGAATAGTGCCCCATCATTGGTATCAGTGGAAGGAATAGTGCCCCATCATTGGTATCAGTGGAAGGAATAGTGCCCCATCATTGGTATCAGTGGAAGGAATAGTGCCCCATCATTGGTAAGGAAGGAATAGTGGCCCATCATTGGTGTCAGTGGAAGGAATAGTGCCCCATCATTGGTGTCAGTGGAAAGAATAGTGCCCCATCATTGGTATCAGTGCAAGGAATAGTGCCCCATTTTTAATAGTGGGGAGGAATAGTGTCTGTGAGCGCAATAGTGTTCCACCATTTATGTCAGTGAGATGAATAGTACTTCATTGTTGGTGGCAGTGAAAGCAATAATGTCCCATTGTTGGTGTCAGTGAGAGGAATAGTGCCCCATCATTGGTGTCAGTGAGAGAAGTATTGCCCAATCATTGGTGTCAGTGGAAGGAATGATATCCCATTGTTGGTGGCTGTAGGAGGAATGGTGCTTCTTTGTTTGTCTCAATGAGAGAAATAGTGCTTCAAGGGCCAGATAAAGGCAACCAAGAGGCCACATTTGGCCCCTAGACTACGGTTTGCTGACCATGGAGGTAAACAATGCTCAAGTAGTCTGTAGTACTTGACAAGATAATTGTCCTACAGCTATAACATAATGGGATGAGGTTTTACAAATAAAAGTGGAGATAAAGAAGAAAGAGAAAAATGGTGGTGGGGGGACAGGAAAGAAGCGTGAAATGAGATGTCAGAGATCCCCATTGTCAATAATCCTCTTTTACAGTCACTCAGCAGAGTTGTATTGTATCCAGAGTTGCCACGTTAGGTTGAATTTAGCTTGAGTATCATTCAAGATACTTGATAATTTGTTGTTGATCAAGATCCAGTTGACTTTATGTTTGACTTGTTCAACTGAGACGGTATGTTTTTTCCAACTCTGGGCAATCTGCTCTTCATTTTAAAGTCAACAGAAACAGACAGTATCTAGCTGGAATGGAGCATCAAATCCCAGAATTTCCTGCCAGCCACAGGGCTAGTAGTTCCACTGCAATTGAAGAGCCATGTATTGCCTAATTGTCTGAAAGATGATGGGGCTCAGGTGTGAAAGTGCCTGAAAGAAAGAAGTCTAGGGATAAAGTTAGAGTCAGAGGTTAGGGGACTAAAGTCAAGTGCTAGTGTTAAATTTAGTGTTAGGGTGTAAAAGGGGGGGGGGCCTGTTAGGTGACGGTTTGGGGGTCAGGATACGTTTTAAAGATCAAATTTAAAAATTTAAGGTGTTAGAGTAAGACTGAGGATTACGTTTTAGGGGTGTGTTGAGTATTACATTTTTAAAGTTAAGATATATGTTAAAAGTTAAAGTGTTACTAAACCCACAACCCTGCATTCACTATATCTGCTCTCCCCGGACCCTGCATTCACTATATCTGGTCTCCCCGGACCCTGCATTCCCTATATCTGGTCTCCCCGGACCCTGCATTCACTATATCTGGTCTCCCCGGACCCTGCATTCACTATATCTGGTCTCCCCGGACCCTGCATTCCCTATATCTGGTCTCCCCGGACCCTGCATTCACTATATCCGGTCTCCCCGGACCCTGCATTCACTATATCCGGTCTCCCCGGACCCTGCATTCACTATATCCGGTCTCCCCGGACCCTGCATTCACTATATCCGGTCTCCCCGGACCCTGCATTCACTATATCCGGTCTCCCCGGACCCTGCATTCCCTATATCCGCTCTCCCCGGACCCTGCATTCCCTATATCCGCTCTCCCCGGACCCTGCATTCCCTATATCCGCTCTCCCCGGACCCTGCATTCCCTATATCCGCTCTCCCCCGGACCCTGCATTCCCTATATCCGCTCTCCCCGGACCCTGCATTCCCTATATCCGCTCTCCCCGGACCCTGCATTCCCTATATCTGCTCTCCCCGGACCCTGCATTCCCTATATCTGCTCTCCCCGGACCCTGAATTCACTATATCTGCTCTCCCCGGACCCTGCATTCACTATATCTGGTCTCCCCGGACCCTGCATTCACTATATCTGGTCTCCCCAGACCCTGCATTCACTATATCTGGTCTCCCACAGAACATGGAAATGCAATTATTATAGTAAATATAAACGGCTAAATATCTTTTCTCGTCAGTAGTATATAGCAGTCTTGTGACTTCTATCATCTGAGCACTGGTTAAAGCTTATAGGAGGAGTTTTCATTCTCCTCTGACTGTCCTATGAGGCTGCTGTCACGGTCTGGGTCAGGTTCAGAGACCAGTTGCTACAGCAGTGTAAGGTTTACCTGAAACCTTTAGGATAGGTACACCAGCGGGTCACCCTGGGAAATGACGCAGGCTCACCTGAGGTGCGGGGTCTAAGTATTAACTAGTTTTCACCAGAGCTCCTAATGGTGGAGATGGATTTGGCTGCGTGCTAATACCAGGTCGCAGATCTCAGGATCACCCCACCAGGGAATGAGCAAGCTGGAAACCAAAAGTGGATCAAACAGACTAGGGATCAAACAGAAGCGGAGTCAGTCACAAGCCAAGGGTCGGTCACAAATGGTAGTAGATAGGATGAGGCAGAATCGTAGTCAGTAGCAAGCCAAAGGTCCATAACGAAGATGTAGACAGCAGCAGGAACAGTAAGCGGGATATTGGCTGGGAAGGCACAATAATCTGGCAAGGAGGAAGTGTATGGACATGGCTTTCATAGGAAGTTCATGGGAGGAGCAAGGAGTTCAAGGTTCAAGACAAACAGGGCCAAGGCAGGATCATCCAAAGAATAGTCAAGGGCACTGTCCAGCATTCCAGGTGGCTCAGTGAGAAGAAACATTGCCTCTCCCCACAGAAGGCCCAGGTTCAATCCCAGGCTCTGACAGCTGCATAACCCCTAGCCATCTGTCTGGACAGTGCTGATTGGCCCTATGCTGATCACATGCACCCTCCCAAAGAAAAAAAAAAAAACTCTTTAGCAATACACACTATACAGAGTATGTGCAGAGTGACTGCTAGAGCTCTGTAGGATCAGTAGATGGATTGGGGACTGTAAAAGAAAGGGAGGATCAGAGAAGACAGGATCAAACAGTCTTTTTGCACAATGCAGAAGATTAAACCCTTAGGCTCCACAGTGAGCATAACAAGCATGCTTTACTGCATAGCCTTGAATATGCCATTCAGTACTGTTAAATCACCTATTAAGAAGTGGAAAGTTCAGGGATCTCTTGATACCAAGACAAGGTCAGGTAGACCAAGAAAGATTGCAGTCAAAACTGACAGAAAAATTGTCTGGAATTCAAAGAAAAACCCACAGGCAACCTAAAAACAAATACAGACTGCTCTGGAAAAAGATGGTGTGGTTGTTTTTAAGGAGTACAATACGGTTATACTTGAAGAAAAATGAGCTGTTTGGTCGAGCTGCCAGAAAGAAGCTTTTACTTTACCAATGCCACATAAAAGCCCGGTTACAATATGCTTGACATGCCATAAACCGGGCCTTTTTGTGTCATTGATGCAGTAAAGGCTTCTTTCTGGCACCTCGACCATGCAGCTCATTTTTGTTGAAGTGTCATCATATTGTGCTCCTTCAAAACAACCACACTGTCTTTTTCCAGAGCAGCCTGTATTTTTCTTATGGTTACCTATGGGTTTCCCTTTGTATCCCGAACAATTCTTCTGGCAGTTGTGGCTGCAATCTTTCTTGGTCTACCTGTACTTGGTTTGGTATCAAGAGGTCCCTGAATTTTCTACTTCTTAGTGGAAGTGATAACTGGCATATTCAAGGCGTTGGACATCTTTTTATGTCCTTTTCCATCTTTATAAAGTTTCATTACCTTGTTACGCAGGACTTTTGACAGTTCTTTTCTGATCCCCATGGCTCAGTATCTAGCCTAGTCAGCCTAGTCAGTGCTTCCATGTAAGAGCTAACAAACTCATTGACTATTTATACACTGACACTAATTGCAATTTAAAAAGCCACAGATGTGGGACATTAATCTCTAATTGGCATTTTAACCCGTGTGTGTCACCTTGTGTGTCTGTACCAAGGCCAAACATTCCAGGGGAGGGAAACTTTTGATCATGGCCATTTGGGTGATTTCTGTTTATCATTATGATTTAAAAAGGAACCAAACAACTATGTGATAATAAATGGCTTCATATGATCATCATACTTCAATAAAAGAGCATTTTTTTGGCATGAACAGTCATATTTTCAAGATCAATGCCAAAATTTCACACTTTCTGCCAAGGTGTGCAAACTTTTGAGCACAACTGTGTATATATATATATATATATATATATATATATATATATATATATATATATATACAATTACATGAATATATAATACATGTTAAGAAGAAGACTTTTGATACATGTGTCTAATAAATATAAATACTTTAGATCTCTCTAATATATTCATTCAGTATTGCTAAAAACTAACAGATAATCTGAAATGATATGTCATTATCTGGACACGATTATGATGTTCTGATTGTTATCCAATTGTCCCTTGCAGGTTACCGCTGCTTCAAGGCTGTCATGTTCTTGACAGGTCTGATGTTTGGCTCGGTGGTCATCTTCATGCTCTGCTATAAGGAACGGGTTCTGGACACACAGCTGAGCGTGGAAGCCAGCGTTGGCATTGGCCTGGGCATTGGTGTCCTTTGTGGACTGGTAACCATGCTTGTGAGGAGCGTGGGACTGTTCATGGTGGGCTTGCTGCTAGGGCTGCTGCTGGCCATAGCCACGTTAATTGTCATGGAGCAGTTCTACCACCCGCGCACCGTCTGGGTTCCGGTGGCGCTTCTCCTCCTCGGGATTGGCATGCTGTTTGCCGTGTTGACCTTACAGTGGCAGCGCTTCTTCACTACACTCTCCACTGCTGTCTTTGGCAGTGCCATCATGACTGTGACTGTGGATTACTTCATTGAGCTCTTTCTTCTGGTGCAGTACGTGTACCAGCGCATGAAGGTTGACCCTCCGCAGTCTGTCTGCTGGTACAGCTGGGTCATCCTTGGGATCTGGCCTGTGCTCAGCTTACTGGGGGTGCTCGTCCAGTGGAAAGTCACAGCAGAGGGCTACTCACACACAGAAGGTAAGCTCATGCCGTCAGTTGCTAACCTTTATGAAGTGCATTGTATCGATACATCCATGCCTCCTCTCACACTATTTGATGACTTCTGTGTCACTAACTACTTTGTAACCAGGCGGTCTTCTCCTGTCTATACCAATGGCAGAGATGCAAGGAAGTAAGGTGTAGTATATGATAAACACACAAACGTACACTATGTGACCAACGGTTTGAGGAAACATGACCATCCAATACAACCAAAGGTATGTGGACACCCCTACAAATGATTGAGTTCAGGTGTTTCCAGTAAGGAACTAAAGCATCCAAAGACATTGTAGGCAATTGTGTGCTTCTGACCATCTGTAACATCATGAACTGTGCCCCTGTACATCCTCCAAAATCTTATGGTAAGCCTTCCTAGAAGAGTGCAGACTTTATAGCCACAAAGGAGGAGGACAAATCCATGTTAATGCTCATGGTTTTTGAACTGAGCTGTTCAACAAGCTCATATAGGTGTGATAGACACATTTGACTATATGTTGTATGAAAACTGTATGAACTAGTTCTGTTCAGCCGGTCTTGTGATACACGCAACCCTGGTAGCAAGACTGTAGTCTTATGTGTCACCTACCTTCCTCGAGTCTCTTTGCTGGACTATGAATAAGCATCGTCATGCTACCTATCATGTACTGACTAAGAACCCCTCAGCCAGCTCCTGCTGCCTGAAATATTTTAGGATGATAGCACTAAGCAATTCAAGAGGCTTTATTCATACAGTGTTCACTGAAAGCTGTGGGGTTATCATTGAGCATGGACAGAAATGTTCCATTATTGGTAGCATAGAAATTGGAGTTAAAACTATCTAATGTGGCTTGTATTGATGTTAGACAAACCCAACCCCTTGCACCACTTACAGGCCAGCCTGAGTTGTCATTATTATTGTACAAACGTTTAATAGCAATAACAGTTTGCACTTTACAATATAAAGAGAGACAGTAAAATTACAAAACAATAAAATACAAGAGGGTTAGGAGGGCCTTGCTCATAAGAGCTTACAATCTAATAGGGTGGGGCAAGTGGTATCCCCTTGTGGGGGATGAGCTGATGGAAGCGATAAAAGTTCAGTTAGTTTGAGGCATGATAGGCTTCCCTGTAGAGATTAGTTTTCAGGGTTGGCCTAAAGGCAGCCAGAGTAGTGGACAGAGAGGTAGAGAGTTTATCCTAGAAGAGGCTTTGGAGGAGTCCTGTAGACGAGCATGAAAGGAGGAGACAAGAGAGCTTGAGAGCAGGAGGTCTTGGAGGGAATAGAGAGGACCTTTTGGGTGATATTTGGATATAAGATTGGTGATGTAACTCCAGGCAGAGTTTTGGATGGCTTTGCATGTTGTTGCTAGTATTTTCAATGTATTCACTGGGCAAACGGAAGCCAATGAAGGGATTGGCAGAGGAAGGTTGGTAAGGAGGATGAGTCTGGCAGCAGCATTCAATGCTAGACTGAAGAAGGCATAGCCTATGGAGAGATAGGCCTATGAGAAGGAAGTTGCAATAGTCAAGGCGAGAGATAAAAAGTGAATGAGTAGCTTGATGGTTTCATTAGTTGAAAAGGGGCGTATTTTCGAGATGTTTCGAAAATGAAGTCTACAAGCTTTTGACAGCGATTGGATTTTGGGCTGAAAAGACAGGTCAGAGTCTAGGATTATACATAGTACCCTGAGCTGAAGGGAGGGACTGATAGTTGCATTATTCATCTTGATGGAAAAGTCATGGCGGAGGGCACAACCGGGGGCTGAATCTGATTGCCTGCAATCCTCCAGGTGCCAAGGTCCTGGAGTCCGTTCTTTCCCCACTGCAATCCACCATCCACATCAAAGACATTCAACTCCAGCCGAAGTTTATTTAGTCACAGCACACTACGCACTTCCACCCAAGGCCATGCCTTCAACATGTTCCACCCACAGCACGGCTTAATCATAGGGATTTGGATTTGGGTGGCAGAGAGCGATGTGCCATCATTGCCATAAACCTTGGCTGGAGTTGAATGTCTTCAGTGTGCGTCCCGTTATTTGGATGGTGGATCGTCTTGATGTTGTCACAGCAGTTGATCGGCAGGAAAAAGAACAAGCGAGGCCTATACTAGAAACAAGCCTGAGCAAGAGAATATTACACTGAAAACATACAGTATAAAATAATCACTGGTACATATTACATAACATAAATGGAAACAATTCTCTTTACCTTTAATTGGATTTTTTCAAGGAAATTTGAATCAGTCTATCAGTGTCGTGTATTACTATAACAATGGTTTCACCCAGAAGGAAGAATCGGCGCATTATGAAATGACAGTGTATCTTGAAACAATGTGAAGTCTTTAATACAGCACAAAAATATGTGACACTATAATCAGCTCTTCATACATTGTTCTGTACAATCCATAATTGCCAGCTAATTATAATTATTTCCAGAGATACGTCTACCGGGTAGCAGGTGCAATTAAGTACGTCACGTGGTGTCGTTGTTCTTCTCTGCACTTCCCAGCAAGACACGAAGCTGGAATTTCTTTAGAACGTTGTTTTTTTTCCGCTTGTTTGTTGGGAATGTGCCGTATCCATTAGTGGCAGTTTATCAGGAATGAAAATAATAGATTACCGGACATTGTCATTGTGAAGGCATAATTCTTCTCTTAGGTCAAAAGTTACCTTTCCCTCTGTCTTCCAAAATCATGGCTGTTCCTTTAGGCAGACCTTAAGTCTTGAAAAGGGCGTTCTCCTCCCTGCAACTCCCCCAACCTCTGCCATTTGAAATGGTCATTTTTTTTTGCTTTGCATTTTTTTTTACTCCAGCTACACCCCCTGCCAGCAAATAAATAACATGCCTAAAATATGTTAAATACCAATATAATCTTATGGGAATATTTTTGCTAAAATTAATGGTCTGGGGATAGGGTCTCGGCCAGAAATTCAACAACTTAGTTTTGTGGTGTGTTGAAGTGCAGGGTTGTTGCCAACTACTGTACATGTGCATTGGGGTACCATTCTAAGTAAATGGCACTGAAACACACATATGCAGTAATGCACAGTAAGCCATGGGGGTTATTTACTAAAACTGGAGAGTGCAAAATCTGATGCAGCTCTGCATAGAAACCAATCAGCTTCCAGGTTTTATTGCCAAAGCTTAACTGAACAAGCTGAATTTAGAAGCTGATTGGCTACCATGCACAGCTGCACCAGATTCTGAGTGCACTAGTTTTAGTAAATATCCCCCATGCATCACTGCAACGCAATCCCAGCGGATCTTGAAGAAGAAAAGCATCCTGATTGGTATACTTACCTGAATTCTGCTGCAGTTCCCTACAGACTCACCCATTCACCAATCCAGCGCTGCTCACCTTCTGGGTTATTTCTATTGAGCTTGGGGTGTCAAGGCAGGTGAATGGTGCAGAGAGCACATCCTTACAGAGCATTTGGGATCTGCCCATAGAAAGAAGAGGGCAAAGAGGACCTGTGACGTCACCCAACCGGGTCAAAAGTGCCTGGAAAAATAGTACATTTTTAATGGTGTTAAGGGTGCCGTAAGGGGGGTTGGGGGTACAAATGGCCGACTGGGACTTGGGGGGGGGGGGTTGGGCTTAACCTTTTTACCCCAGAGGAACCCTAAAACTATTTCCAGGTCTCAGATTACCCCTTATCAGGCGAATCATGTGTGCGATCGTGCAAGAAGATATATGTATAATACAACTCAAGTAACAACTAGATGTGCCCTAACTTCTGGAGTGAAAACCGGATGTGCTCTAACTCGCGCGCTTGTGCACACACATTAGCCTGAGCAAGCGTGGGTGTTTGGTGTCCACTTCACTATGTAAAGCGATACTAAAGGTTAATTTTTTATTTTTTTTTAAATAACACACGTGTTATACTTACCTGCTCTGTGCAGTGGTTTAGTACAGAGCAGCCTTCTCATGTCGGCTCTCCTGGCTCCTTCTTTCTGTCAGGTGCCTCCATAGCAAGCAGCTTGGTAAGGGGGCAACCGAGCAGGTGTGTTCCCAAGCCGCTGCACCGTGTGTCAATTCACACATGGAGCCGCAGCTTGCCCCCCTTCCTCCTCATTTGCTGACTGGCTGTGATTGACAGCAGCGGGGGCCAATGGCTCCTGCTTGCTGTCTCAGTCAATGAGGAAGCAGCGACCCAGGACAGCCAAAGCTCTCGTGCACATTGCTGGATCGTGATGGGGCTCAGGTAATTATTAAGAGGGCTACACACAGAAGATTTTTTACCTTCATGCACAGCATGCATGAAGGTTAAAAACTTTGAGCCTTTACAACCACTTTAAAGCTGCATTAGAGACCAGAGTATTATAAGTGGTCATCAGCTTCTGCCACCTTTGACCTGATTCTGTGCTTGCTTCCGTGTTTACCTGGCCTGCTTGTTGCCCTGTTGCTGACTCCAGCTTGTCTGCTGGTCTGGTACCTTCTCTGCTCACCCCGACACTGATCCTGGCCTGGCTCTCCCTTCGGTTCTTGGTGGGCTGACCACCTCAGATCTTGCTCGCCAGCTTGCTTGCTGCCTACTGTTCTGCACCTGCTACCGTGTCTTCACATCTGCCAGTTCACCAGTCTGCCTGCTACAAGTATCTTCCAGCCAGGATCTCCTACAAGGCACCCGTGCCACCCGTGCTGTTATGTCCTGTCCAGGGGCGGACTGACCATTTGGAAACTCGGGCACTGCCCGAGGGCCCGGGGTCAGTGGGGGGCCCTATGAGATGCCCCTGGTACCCTTTTGATAGGCTTTTTTGAGTTTGGGCAAGGACCCAGGGGCCCCATGATCCCCTATTGCCCGGGGGCCCCATGATTTGTCAGTCCGCCCCCTGGTCCTGTCATCACCTACAGGAGAAACAGGTCAGGAAGTGTAAGGGAAAGCCCTCTCGTGAGCTCGTCCTCAACCAGGTATGTGACACCCCTGAAAAAAACAGTTTATTGAGGGAGTCAGTGAAAAAATTACCCATTCATTGATAGCCAATTGGAAGAATGC